TTACGTTAGTGTACATAACATTAATTGCAGAAGTTGACAATTATGCCTAGTTTATACGGCCAAAATTTTTATTTTCATATACATTTGGAGTTATACACCAAAAATTATCGTTGTATACTGTACGGTTAATGATCCTTTTAATCATTACGATCTATATCTGCAATAAACAACCAAGCAAATGAAATCAAATTTTCGGAAGTTCTGGATTATTACACAATCTCTTTCCAGGAGACAATCCAACTTTCATTGCTGAAAGACAATTCTAAATCCTGCAGGACTTCGATATTGTGTATAAACTTTCGATGTGGCGAACTAATTGCTTGGCACAAAAGGTCGCTAGCTTCTAATACACAAAATTAATTAATTCGTTTTGTACCGTCATAGAGCTCAATTCGTGTTCTGTTGGAGTCAAGTCAAAGAAATATAGCGCCAAACCGTCATCAGTCCAAATTCGAAGGGCCGACGATTCGAATTCGAAAAACCACGCGAATTCTCGCTACGAAAGTGTTGGGAATTGAATTAAAGTTTGGAATTATTGCAAAATATATCTACGAGAAAAATATCCGAATGTTCAGCGACCTAGTTCCGAAGAGATTATGGTAAAAAAATTCGCGCAAAGGTGCAAATTAGTATTTAGAACTATCCAAAAATGATAAAAGTATGGTCGATCAATCAAAAATTCTAATTCGAGAGAGAAAGTTAAAAGAAAAAAATTGAAAAACTTCAGCAGTGTTCCGCTATAATTATGGTAGTGAAATTCTTGATTTGTATTCAAATAACGATCGACTCAGAGTCAGGAAAATTCTTTAAGGATTCGATCGTTGTAAATTGAGTGAATGGAGCAGAATTGTACCATATAATGAACTCATTCAGAAGGAATTTTGGATTTTTCTTTTGAAGTATTGACAATATGGATATTTCCTATAACAGATTTCATTTTTGCTACCAATAAGGTGATGTTTTTTATCTGAAATTGGCTACAATTGATATTGTTATTGAGAATTAAATAGGGGTAAGTTAGAAACGCAACGTGGCCATGGTATAGGTTTAGATGTTCAGTACTCGTAAACGTAAAACATTTTGTAGGTAAGAGAAAATGTAAGAGAAGGTTGAATTTGGATCTGCATTTGCACCTGTTTACCAAATTAATTAATTTTTAGCGATAACCGCAAACCTTATCCACGACCGGAGAAAAACATGAGATAAGCTTTCAAAAATCCTTATCTTACAACACGTAAATTGTCAACAATTAAACAAACAAGGTAAACAAATTTCAAAGAGGCTATAAAGAAAAAATTAGACATCGTCTCAACCACATAAATCAACACAACAGTATACATTTTATTGGCGTTATTTAAGGACTGAGATGTGTTGATTAAATTGCAATTACAATTTTTGACATTACGGGTGTTCAAACGCTCCTAATTTGGATTTGTTCTTCCCCACTACGTTCACTTGAGAAAAACGATAATGTTATAAAATTACATCTAAAGAATATAGATTTTTTGTGTTATTTAAGGGATGATATGTGAGATTTAATAGCAAATACAACATTTGATATAAGTAGTTGATGTTCAAACACCCTTAATTTGGATTTATTCGTTTTCACTGCTTGCACTTAAGTAAAAACTAAAGCCTGTATATGTGTATACCTTGATGGATAAATTTTATTGGTGTTATTTCAGGGATTAGCTGTGCATTATTTAATAGCAGTAGTATATGGGCACCACCCCCACTACTTTTTGTAGTGCGTAAGCTTGTGTCCGTGGCGTAGAGGATTTCTTATCTTAGCTAAAGTAAAAGGGGATCCCTTGGATTTTATAATTTTTTTATTGGTATGATTTCTTGTTTCGCTCACGTGGCCGAGACTGGTTTCGGGTGCTTATTTGATTATTTCTGAGAATTTTGAATAATTCCGCGAAATTTGGACTTTGATTAATTAATTTCCTTCGCGCTAAAATTGTCTGATTAAGTTCGCGGTTTATCGGTTTAATGTGCAGAATTAGTCCAATTCAATTAAATTCTGCGCATCGTACCAATTTGGAGGCGTGGCCAAGCGATTCTAGGGTTTATGGAATTTATCGGCGGATTTATTTACGCAATTTGATTCGGGTATTTTAATTAGCCTTTTTATTTGATTGATTAATTTAATTATCGACCTACAAAATAAGCTCCAACATATCGCAAGTTCTGAGTAAATGGGTCAGGAATCATCATCCAATTTTTAATTAATTAAAATTTCCCTGGCAAAACCAAAGCTCGAATTAAATTGTGAAATAAATTAATCGATCGAATTAAAAGGTCCAAATTCCACGAAATTATTCAAAATTCTCAGAAATAATCAAATAAGCACCCGAAACCAGTCTCGGCCACGTGAGCGAAACAAGTCCAAATCAAAATAAGTTCCCGAAAACATCATCGACCACCTGATCGAAGCAACGTGATTAAATTATGCATCCGTGAAAAGAACAAGAAAAATGAACATTGGTCCGCCCTAGATCCAAAGCACACGGGATATTAGCGAAGATAAGAATCTCTTTTAATTTACCCAAGATCAGAACCACTCAAGATTACGTCATCCCTACGCATATCAAAAAACCCGCCAGGGTCGCTCGCCAGTGGAAATCCCCTTCATCACGGGCAAGACCTCGCGCCACAAAAAGAGGTGGGGTGGTGGCTATGTACTACTAAAGGTGCTATATGAGTTTTTTTCTTTGGGGATAGATTTCACTCCATCAGATGAGCGGTAAGTGATTGTCAATTTTACTGGAGACTCGACGTTCAATTTAAAATTATTGAAGGGGTAGCAACCCTGCCTAGGGGGTTGACAACAGAGGTGTAAATTATGAAGTAAAAGATGTCCCCCTTCCAACACAAATGGACGTGTTTATGTCCCCCTTCCAACACAAATGGACGTGTTTTTGTGTTTGTTTCAAAAACTATTTCCTTGCGAATCATTCAGTCTGTTTCGTTTTCATTGGGCCATGTATACTTAAATCTAAAATAAAGAAAAGAAAAGGAAGGGATTGAAAACTTTTAAAACATTCTAGAGCTTCTTACAAACTTTCATGGGCATTTTAGAGGGAAATCTCATTTTCCCAACACACGTTTCCATGTCCAGGGCTTTCTAGCTCTGAAAAGGCCCGAGAATGTAACAGTTTAGTTACATTTATAGTAGTTTGAAAGTCGCACAACACTGGTAAAAATTTTACTGTAACAATTAATTTGTTTGTAATGAAATAATTAAATCCACGGCTAGCTCAGTAATAAGTAAACTTCTAATTACTCTTACCTTTTGGAAAGTTGGTTCTTTAATTATTTCCCCTTATAATTTCAAAATCAAAACCTGATGCTTTGGTATGATCACTCGCAAATAAATACTCATGTAACTTATTAATGACAATAATATCGACTTCACTTTTCTTGATTTAAAATATTGATGTAATTCATGCAACAAATGTAAAATAAAATTTCAATCCTTATATCGTGATTACGTTTCCAATCCAATTCATTCTAGGTATCTCAAAAATACGCTATTATATTCGTTATGGCTGGCTGGCCGGCTGTCCGGGTGAGATCTCAGAAACTACAATACCTAGAGACTTCAAATTTTCACTAAAAGCTTTCTGCTATGGTGTAGATGTGCAGGCTCTAGTCTATTTTGAGTTGGATTACTTGTGAGATCGATAATTTAAGAAAATAATTTAGATATGGTTTTCGGAGGTGCTATAATTCTACCGTTAGATAGCGCTACCCTAGGCGCTACCAGTATAAAAAATTAATTATTTACTTTGTCATTTGTTTTACAAAATAAAAACGTACCCTCAATTGAAATTAAATAAAATTAATCATTTAACGCAGCCAAAATTACTCGTGAGATCGATAATTTTAAACTTCGCTAATAAAATACTGATCTGTATTACTAAAAATGCGCTTTAATCATGCATATGCTGATTTACAACTTGTTTACTAACTGTAATTAATCAAACACCTGGTACATTTTCCCATTCAAGAGATTTACACACTTCTGGATGCCAAATAAAATTTAACCCTTACAGAAAAATGAACTTGAAAGTCAACTAAGCAATTAAAGAGAAAAAATTTCCAAAACCTTTTGCTTGTGTTTCCTTATCATCATAAAAAATATACAGATCTATTCACGGAATAAACTCCCGTGGGTCGACCTCTTCAGGAATGTTAAATTGATTTTGAGCATAAATTTTTATACAAAATCTCCAAAACGATCGACCCCTGTTTTTACATATGTAAATGTAAATCAAATAATTTACATTTGTCGATTAGTCGAAATTTTCTACAGATTACATTCGATTTTTTCCTTGTGAAACGTAGCAGCAATTCGGAAAATTGGATGGTGGAACCCCGTATGATTACGCGGCATCCCTCAATTATACGAACTCGTCTTGAAACTTTTAATCGAGAATAAGTGTTAAACGATCGAGTTACATAGGTTCGGCTTGAAAGGATCCTATTCTCCCACCCAATTTTTCCTAATATACATACTCGCCAATTCAAAAACCCGAACGGTCCAAACAAAAATCAAGTTCAACTTTTTTAATACATACAAAGGTAGAACAGAAAAGCCGTTCCTCATGGTCAGTAAGAACGGTCTTTAGAACCGGCAACACTGTGGCGCTTTGACTCTTATCTGTTTGTATACTCGCTTTTTATCTGCAAGCCCTTCATTCTAATGCATTTTAGTTCCGTTCTCTTTCACTTTAAAGCGATACACGTATAAAAATCCCTATACTGGCAAAATTGCAAATTCAAATATTTCTAAGCCTAAAGCGACCACCTGTTACAAGAAGTATACACATTATCCTTCATAAAAACAATGTTGTTGATTATTAATTCTAATACACTACACTTCAGTATCTAAGATAGACCGAATCGCTTTTATAAGGTTTACCCTCGATGTAGCAATTGGCAATCGTTCTTGTAACCAAAATTCAGATTGATAATATTTCTCAAGATGCACTTACCTCAAAGCCGACAAAAAAAACTGGAATTACGGAGCACTCCTGAAACAAAAGTAAAAATGAATGAAAGATTAATTAAAGGGCCAGCAATGAATCTTAAAATATAAAGCTTCAAAATTTAGAAACCTAAAGAGATGGTTATAATTGCTAATATACACTCGTCCGATTTATCGCGAGGGTTGAATATTCTGTTTTAACGTTACATTAATAATTATACCAAGAAAGGTTGTCCTCCCCAATTTTGGGTCCAAGTGGCTGAATACTATTTTATTGATTTAATTACGAGGAAGCCTTGTCGTTTTAGTTCCTGTTATTAAATTACTTAGTCCGATAAGAAGACCGACCTACTCTTGTGCGAGTCCTTTTTGGGATGAGATTACTGTATATAAGGGGCGCGCACTCGACTCACACACGCGCCACCCCCTTAATTGCTAGATTACAATAAAACGGCGGCTTGCGTTATTTTTCAATCGTATTTCAAAATTGAAATAGTAAATAATCGTTAGGGAATTATGACTGTGGAAACAGTACGATGAAAGACGGAGAGGGTAACGGGTCGAGAGCGCGAGGTGCAATTTTATGGCCCCCTATGTTTCGGCAGGAGCGGAAAGGGTCGTGTGCTCAATAAATAATATAATAAATATAATTACTGCCAACCGTTCGAATCCCCGCCAAATTATATTATTTCATGTACAGCAAATTTAATTTCGAAGTTGCCGAATGACATTTGTGAAGCCCAACATTTACTAATATTTATTTGAAACGCGAGCTAAATGTAATATTTTTTATTGCCACGTCGAATTTTATTCAAAATCGCGTTTCGCGCATTCCATTGTTTTCTTTCATTCGTCGGATTCCTTAATAAACAATTAATTCCAAATTGTACATACTATGAACGCAAACAAACAACGTCCTGATATATTCATATCCATCCATCCCATATAACTAGCGTTCAATTTCGGCAGATAAAATTTAATGAAAATTGGGGCGCATACAGTGGCAAGGCAAACACCACAAAAATTCGACGGGAACCACAGAAAAAAGACCACCTTGTATGCATTGTTCTGAAATAATTTAAGGGTGGATGATATATCGCAATCAAACAGAAATATCACTGAAAGTATTGATAATGCTTTGTAATTGAAAATACGCCGCACTCGAGCGTATCCTTCGCCCGTTGCTCTCGAGATGTGTAACACAAATACGACTAATTTCTAATGGTAATTTTGTTCTTTTTTTTCATTTTAAATGGAATATGTTTTACCTACAGTTTAACAACAATTTCTGGTTTTTTGCAAATTCAAACTTTAGAATTTGAGATTTTTACATAACTCTGAGAGAACCTAAGAAAATTTAAAAAAAGATTATACAGAGTGTTACATATAAGTACGTAAAAAATTGAGGGGTAGAGGGGATCAAAGTAAACCGGGGGTCCAACGTGTTTTGTTTGGGAGCCACCCTCAAAAAACTGCTAAAATTTGCATTTCTTCTTTAACTGTGTTCTCAGCAACCCATAAGAGTTACAAAGACTGGTGGCACGTCTTTCAATGGGTTTTGGGGAATGCCCTTTCCCATTTTGCCAAAAAATTCAAAATTCCTACCACGAAAGGGCGCACTTCTAAATGGGGGTGCGAAAATTATTCTAATGTCAACGAAATTTGGCGGTTTTTGAACATGAAAATGAACAATTTGGAATTAGTTTTTGAAAGTCCGAAAAAAAATCCACTACCATTCTTGGACGGCCAACTACAATGGAGAGAATTCCACGAAATGTGGTATATTTGATTAGTTAAGGAACAAAATTGTCGAACGGTTTTCTGAAAATCACTTTTCAAACAAAAGTTATACTCATTTGAAAATTGGTCCTTCGGGTCAGAAAGTGTCCTCCCGCCTTCTAGTGAGTAGGTAATATAATTTGTGATGAAAGGTGATCTTAAAAAACTGTTCGACAATTTTGTTCCGTAACTCATTAAGTATGTACACAACAAATTTCGTGGAATTGTTTCCATTTTCGCTGTCCGGCCAAGAATTGCAGTGGAATTTTTTGTTTGCGTTTTTAAAAACTAGTTTCAGATTCCTGATTTTCATGTTCAAAAACCCCAGATACCAAATTTCGTCGAAGTCAGAATTTTTTTCGCACCCCCATTTAGGGGTACGCTCTTTCGTGGTACGAATTTTAAATTTTTTTTTACAAAATCGGAAAGAACATATCCCAAAACCTATAAACCGCCAGTCTTTGTAACTCTTATGGATGCTGACTTCTCACAAACGAAACACCCATGGACCTTCGGTTTATTCGAAAAAAAGTACTTGTTTTGATCCCCTCTGTCAACCATTTTTTTTTACATACTTATGTGTAACACCCTGTATACCTACCTAGTTTTTAAATTTCAACTCTGTCAAGCAATGTTCTGAGAAGTTTGAGAAAGAGAGTTTCTTGTTCCTCACCATAATTGTCAATTTTGTATTCTCACTGGTGCACTGCAGTGGTAAGGCCAATAATACTGTACGGTGCACTTGTATAGTAAAAGTAAAACGTTTTACATTTTCGTAACATTCAAAAATTCCAAATTTTCGTTGATTACAATTTTGACATTTTCTCCGACCATTTATGAAAATTTAATTTCCACCATTAATTTTAAATTTTTAAATTGTAAATGAAATCTTTTTCAGTTTGGCGACAGTTTTTAGTTTTTTGCAAATTCATAATTTAGAATCATTCCAACAGACCCTAACAAAACTTCAAAAATTGCTTAGTTTTTAAATTTGAACTCTGACAAAAACCTTTAGTAATATGCGTTTCATATTTTTCTCCATATTTATCAAATTTGTTTCCTAATTTTCAAATAAAAAATTTGTCTTTTCTGAAAATTCAAAAATTCCAAAGTTTCGTCTATGTACGAGCCTATGTATTACAATTTTGGCATTTTATTCAACGATTTTTTTCAAAACTAAATGTTAAAGAATGATTTTTGAATTCATTACGGCTAAAAATGCTAATTCTATCAGTAATTTGTTTTTTTAATTGTAAATGAAATATGTTTTTCAATGTGACAATTTTTTTTTTATTTTTTTGCAAATTCAAAACTTAAAATTCGGTATCCTGTTCTTCAAAATTGTCAATTTTGTGTCTTGATTTTGTATTAAAAGATTCTACCTTGTTCAAAACTCCAAAATATTTATTACGATTTTTACATTGTCTTCAACGAATGTTTTCAGAATTCTAAAATTAAAAAAAATAATTTTTTAATTCATCCTAGTTTACAAATTCTAAACTCAATCAGTAAATTTTGCTTTTTTTTTAAAATTGCAAATAAAACATATTTTTTAGTTTGATAATTGTTAGTCCATTGCAAATGCAAAATTTAACAAACTATAATAACATTTCAAAGGAGGAATCTTTTGAAAAAACTGAATTTAATTTGCAAACATGCAAAAATGCAACAAACGTGGCAGCTGTTATGCATAATTTGAGGAAAATAACCAAAATTTGATTTTACCTCGGATTTTACTCAACATGCAATTTGAATAGAAATCAAAAGTTTTCTGAGAAATACAAACAGCTTTTCTTGTGTAGTTGGTAGCTTTTCGTGACTCATTTCGTATTGTATCCTTACGTTTAAAATATTGATTTTTTCCTCCTTATCCATGCATACTCGATATTTACGCGCTTGATAGATCTCGACCCGTGAGAAGAGGCAACTGCAGCAAGATCGAGATGGTAGAATCTTACTTCTTCACGTGATGGTGTTTTTACATTTATTCGGAACCCCAATGGTAACTTTGATGTGACTCATTTATTACCTTAAACTTTAAAATCTTGAACTTTTTGTTATATTTGAAGATTTATTTACATTATAAATCTGTATCTATAAAGGGGGACGCAATTGGAGCAGTGTCGCGGAGATCAAATCTTCTGGTGGTAATTAAGGAGCGACCTTGTTTTATGGTGCAAGGTCGTGGCCTTGGTGAAGTGGATTTTCCTGGCGAAAAAACCCTGCCACCTGCTCGACCGTTATGTGTAATTTCGAATGGTTTAAAAAACTAATTTTTTAACGATGAAAAAATTACCAAAGTGCTCGTGTGAGACGGACGGGACTTCAGCACATTTTTGTGTGGCAGATCAGTACTTTATTAGGCAGTTTTGACTCCACACCATCAGTAAGACCTTGTCCCCGGTTATTACATTCTCTTTGTCCCTCTTTTGACGCCCCCTTAGTCATATGAATGCGCCATTTTGGTGAATTTCGCTAAGAGCTTTCACAAAATAGTACTCCATGTTTGGGGCACTTTTCTATTGGCAACACGACAATGAAGAACAAGAAAAACATAGGAAAAAACTGAATAATTGCCAGATTAGTAAACCACACTCGGTGATGGCGGCCAGATGTCGCAGACCCCACATCATGTAGCCCCGTCCCTAAAGTTGTTAATTACACGGTCCGACATACGCTCTATTTGAACTACATTTCAACGTCCAAAAAATTCGTTTCACATCTTCCACCAAAATAGTCACGATTACCGTCGATCTCTTCTATTTAAACCAAATCCCTTCTCCGTTCCACTTCCAACTTCGTCTTAACAATAACTTAAACACCTGTATCTTCTTATGGGCGAAAAAACATCTGCGATAACACGTGCTTATCTAAACATAATTATCTTACGCAGACAAAAGGCTCTTCTCATAACGACCGGAGAAAAACATGAGATAAACTTTACAAATACTACGCAAATAATTCCTAACTGAATAAGTCTTAACACGTAATTTAAATTTACAATTACAATTACGTAGTGACAGTATTACCTCATCCCTTTCGTGTATTATTGTGTAAACTTTGAAAAAATGGAAAACCTTTTTTTCTTCGCCGCTCCCTCTTCATTTGGATTATTTAACTTATACCAGATGGAAGTGAAGGTTCCACCCTTAACATTTAATACTTCATTAATGTTTATTTGAAATAATAATAATAACTTCTTCCGGTGATAGTGGTAACTTTTTGGTGATTGCAATTTTTCCTTATATGCACTTGAATATTTGACAT